TGGGTTTGAGCCCCATGTGGGGCTCTGTGCTGACAGCTCAGAGCCTGGAGCCTGTTTCCGATTCTCTGTCTCTCTCTCTGTCTCTCTCTCTCTCTCTCTCTGCCCCTCCCCTGCTCACACTCTGTCTCTCTTTCTCAAAAATAACTAAACATTAAAAAAATTTTTAAAAAAAGAGGTGACCAGGTCAAAACCCTAAAAATCTTCATTAGCAGTGGTCAGTGGCCATTTCCATCACAAAGAAATGAACACGGTCAGTTAATAACAACGCTCTACTAATACAGCTCCAGTTTTGTTTAAAAGGTATGTTGTTTAAAGGAATGGTGCCATGTTTAGAAGAAAATACATCTTAAAATTATTTTAACACTTAAATACTTTTTAATTTTAAACTTCCACTAAATTTAATTCCTTAGTTCATCATAAATTAAAACAGCTGATGTGTTTTAATTTTAAGAAGAGTCCTTCTCACTTGAAACTGTGAAAATAGATTTTTTTTTAATTTCTAGGAGACCTATTATCTTGAACGCTGCCCTACAGCATATATATTATGCTCATTTTTGGTGCATGATTGTCCACGTGCAAGTATGGGGTGCCTACGTGTGCACCTACCTGTCCTAACGTGTGCATGGGCAGAAACAGGGGGACAAAGCAGGAGGGGCAACATAAAGAAACTCGAATCATTAGAACCCATGAGAGGCACCTAGTATTATCCCCGAGTCGATGGATAATCTTAATATTCTTAACTGGGGAGCACCCGGAAAGAATGAAGAAAGCATTTATGAAAAATACTAAGAGATTATCACCCGGGTACCTCCTAAAAGATGCCGGTGATACACGCACATGAGCAAGTTTTCACGTCAAACAACTCCAGAGATTATGTACAGCTCAATTTACTGTGACAGTCCAACAGTCTAGGAGACAACACATACGAGACACAGTTCAAATAGTACTGACACCCGTCGGTGCCACTGATACCCCTCCCCTGAAGCAGGAGGGCAGCAACGTATCAGATGTTCATCGGTCTGTGAAAACGAGCTGCGCAAACTCAGTGTGTTTGTGGCAACAGCCCAGACCCTATCTGTTCTTACCCTTTTTCCTTCCCAGGTCTCTTTAGTTGTTCCTCAACCACTTCTGTTCTGATCTGAGGTCTTGTTTGTGGAGCACCCTCCTGTCTCATTTGTAACTGAACGCTCTAAGCTGGGTCCCCGACTGGCCCGCAGACTCCAGCTCGGTCCCTGGTGGTTGCCAGCCGCCCTCCCCAGCTCCTTCCCCGGGGCGCCACCCCCTCCTGGGAGGCTGCCACCAATCCAGCAAATCCACCGGTCACCAGACCAGGAGGAAAAGTTAGAAACGGGGCTTTCATCTGCTGATTTATGGAAGCAAATTCTCAACTTTGTGCCTATAATATCCGGCATCATTTTGAACAGCACTGAGTTTCTTGGCTTCATTACATGAAAACTGCACCAAGCACTGGAATGAGGAATGAGAAAGGCATGATTTATGACCCTCCCCATATAGGAGATTTAATTCTGCCTTTTGCTCAATGGTCTATCCATTGTGTGAGCAAAGTCAATACTAATAATGAAATGCAGACTGAAGGGCTAAATCAATTCAATAAAATGCAATAGAAAGACTGGGGGACTGAGTACGTTGGAAAGGCGAGTGCCTGCAGGATTAGTATTTGAACAACAGGTAATTACAAAAATCAATACTTGTGTATGAGAACATGACAGGCAGCCATCCGTCACGAAGGGAGAACCATTACTATTGGCTTGGGCCCTGAGTTAGGATGAGGGAGCAAAGCAGAACTGTGCAAAATCCCTTCCAGAGGTTCCGTGTGTGTGTGTGCATGCGTGTGTGTGTACATATGTGTGCTCCCCACGTGAGTGAAGGAGCGAGACAGAGAAACTCGGATGGCTCACTTTGGGTTTTATTTAGGCACGTGCATTGTCCCTGTCCACCGTGGTGGCAGACTGTGCCCTCGGTCCTACACCATTCATCCCTTCCTCCCCATCCCAGGCTCCCGGGGACCTGGCCAACGTTACCCTGAGGTCCCGGCCACATCTGGAATCTTTGGGGGTGCAGTGGAGCACTGACACCCACCAGATGAGCCCCTCCTCCGAGAGCCAGTTGCTGGAAGATCTCCAGGCAGTAAGAGGGGACACAGGCACCCACGGCAAATTAGGAAAATAAGCACACGTACACATGCAGACATATACATATATATATATACATACGATAAAATAACTTGTATTTTATTTTATTTTATTTTATTTTTTTTTTTTAAATTTTTTTTTTCAACGTTTATTTATTTTTGGGACAGAGAGAGACAGAGCATGAACGGGGGAGGGGCAGAGAGAGAGGGAGACACAGAATCGGAAACAGGCTCCAGGCTCTGAGCCATCAGCCCAGAGCCCGACGCGGGGCTCGAACTCACGGACCGCGAGATCGTGACCTGGCTGAAGTCGGACGCTTAACCGACTGCGCCACCCAGGCGCCCCATTAACTTGTATTTTAAATAGAGTAAAATAACTTAAAATGAACATCGAAAAGATAAAATAAAGTAACTTGAATGTTCTAACTGTTCCTGGCCAAAAAAGAATATGAATGAATGAATATGTTACCACTAAGCGGCCAGCATACATTAAGTCACTTAGCCCCACAAAGACTCCACAGTACAGGTATCGGCATCTCTATTTTAAGGGCTGAAGGACAATCGGCTTGTTCCAGGAGGCACAGCTGGTGAGCAGGGAAGCAGCACTGGGAGATGGATGTGTCTACTGGATGCCAACGCGTGTCCCGGTCCCCACCCCCCACGCCCCCGACATCGTGCCACCTCGGATCCACCGCGGGGCCGAGAGGTGTGTCTGATGGGGCCACGCCCAAGTCTGTGGCCAGCTGCCAGCAGTCACTGCTGTTGAGAGACTTTGGCCAGTCCAAGGAGCACGCAGACAGAGCCAGTGGGACCAGTGACTTCACACTTCCCCAGGCCATGCTGTCTGTACTGACCACACAACCCTTTATAATAAAGGTTCCGACTCCGCTTTTGGATGTCTGGCTTCTGACTGCTTTCAAGCCTCCCTCTCCTGCTCTGCCCACATCTGAGCAAGGTGATATGAAAGCTTGGATGCCTCCTCTTTTGGCATCAGCAGGAAGTTCAAATCACGCCAGCCCCTGTCCACACTTGAGAACCCTCACACTGGCTCCACCCTATAATCACCACAAAAACTCAAGCCAACCCCCTTTCCTACTCTCAAGACGTTTTCAGTCCCACTTAGGAGCCATGCCGACCATCCCAATAAGCCTCGTTAGGTGAGTCACCCAACTTTCCGTACCTTCCAGGTGTATCACAGGGCGTCATCAATCCTGAGATCGGAACCACACTCCTGCTTTTGGGGGCGTGCATCACAACACCCCTGATCCAACCTTACGTGAACAATGGAATAAAATGCTTCCCTGGCCTTTAAAGAAGCCCTTAAAGTGGTGACCTTGAAAAAAATGATGGGCTGTAATCCCCTAATCAGAAATCTGTCCTTCATTTTGAGTGACTCTTTGGTTTTCTATTAAAGGCATAGAAGGATTGAGAGAATTTCCATTGGGGACAGAACTCAAATTTAACTTTGCTTTATTTGTAGATCATTTATATAATTTTAATAGTATTTTTGGCATTTTTAAACTTATCTTGGATGAACAATATTTTTCTTTATGTGACTGTTGACACCACTGTTGACATTTGGGACTGGATAACTCTTTGCTGCGGTTGCTGCCAGGTGCATGTGCATTTTAGGAAGTTCTGCAGCATCCCTAACCCTACCCATAACATGCTGATAGCACCGCCACGGTCCTCTCCAATTGTGACAACCACAAGTGTCTCCAGATGTTGTCAACTATCTCTTGGGAGGCAAAAATCACACCTGGCTGAGAACCACTGTCCTTTATTCAATCCACAAAGACACGTGACCTTTCTGCTAAGTCCTCTAAGTCCCAGTGGAAGATAGAAAGAAATGATGAAAAGCCATTAGGCTATATCCATACTAATGCAAGCAAGCAAAATCTACAATAAATTGCAATTATATCTCTAAATTTCTTGTTTCCACTGTGAAACCGATTTTGACTGATCCCCAGAACTGCTCCCATGCTAGGGAGATGACTCTTTATAGCTTATCAAATTGTTTTAAAACGTTTGATTACTCAGCAGCTTAATGCAAATACTTGTCCCTTGTCTAAAAAATCAGAGTGAGCTATGCCGACCACTGTGATTTTCTAGAAATACCACGCAGCACAGTGTATATACAAAATAGTCCAAGAACACCAAGCATGTTAAAGATTGTTTACATAATGGGTGCAGACAATATATTCTTTCCTGGACCACATCCACCCGTGTTATATTCCCTAGTCATTCTGTAAATGGCTCAAAATCCTTGATTGTAACACAAAGCTTATCTATTGCCTAGAGTTCTCATCCTGTAAGTGAGTTTTCCAGAAAGGAGAGATGATATCATAGGTGACTGCAGTAATCTTGTAAGTTGAGGAGACAACGTATGATGCTTTTTATTTCTTGAAGATTTAGAGGCAGATGTTTCCGATTCTGTGTCTCCCTCTCTCTCTGCCCCTCCCCCGTTCATGCTCTGTCTCTCTCTGTCCCCAAAATAAATAAACGTTGAAAAAAAAAAAAAAGATTTAGAGGCAGAGATAACTCCAGGGATGATATTGGGAAGAGGAAGGCAAATCACATGAAAAGTCCAGCGTTTGACCATTTTGCCTGTGTTAATACTAGAAGGTATATTTGGTCATCTGCTTCTCAGTATCCAAATATTGAAAAAGAAGACTATGCATACACACGCCAGTTAATCAGAAGGTGCCATTTCGGTCTTACACATGGATCTAAATTTTGGAAACATAACTTTGGTTTTCCTATTCCTTTCCCCTTTCAACACTACTCTATAGACCTCGGTGCTGACGAAATCTACCACCAGTCGCTTAAGAATCCAAGTAGCGCTTACCTCGGCTTTAATTTTATTGTCTCCGAAACAGAGGTGCTGTAAGTAGGCTGCAGCATTAGACTGGACTGAAGGAAACTGGTGTTGTAACATCTGGATCACTTCCGGTAGCTCTGGGTCTCTCCATCCAAATTCTCTGAACAAGGAGAAGGCAGGAGAACATGAGAGAGAAATCCTACCACAGTGTTAACACGCGCTTAACCCATTTATGAAACGTACTTGAGTTTACACGGAACTATTTCACAAATAGCCGGTCTGGTTTTCATGCACGCACATTCACTTAAAAGAATCTGAAAAGACATCCTTAAGTTGATGGCTTGGAGGTGCGTGTAGGTATACACGTACGTACGTATACTGAACACACACACCCTATACATATAAAACCTTAAATGTATTAACTGAAGTTACATGTTTATGAAGATTGTGAAAAAAAATGACTTAAAGTGTCACATGATTTTATTAATATACACATTTTTAATTTGGGCTTAAATGGAGAATTTATAAGGTCACATTGGTTTTCTTTTTTTTTTTAAATTTTTTTTTAATGTTTATTTTATTTTTGAGACAGAGAGAGACAGAGCATGAACAGGGGAGGGTCAGAGAGAGGGAGACACAGAATCCGAAACAGGCTCCAGGCTCTGAGCAGTCAGCACAGAGCCCGACACGGGGCTCGAACCCACGGACCGCAAGATCATGACCTGAGCCGAAGTCGGCCGCCCAACCGACTGAGCCACCCAGGCGCCTCAAGGCCACATTGGTTTTCTAATATATTGTTTCAACAGTCTGATTCAAGGACAGCATTTAGCTAAATTATCAGACAAGAGAAAATATAACTGGATGGGGTCCAATCCAAAACCCAAAATGTTGTGATAGAACCTGATGCCTTCTTTATTATTTTCTGACTATTATTACTGTTACTGTTATCATCATCTCTTCTTTAAATGATTCTCCAGAGGGAAAAGTGGAGGAACAAGAAGAATTTATAAAAGGAAGTTCAAGAGTTGGGTTTATTCATACAATGTTAATATGTATTTTTTCACTGTACATTTTTCTCCTCCATGCTTCTTTTCACATCTGAGCTACTCCAAGAAGATGGTTGTTTACTTAATTTTAAGAAACATGCTCTGAGACATTTAAGTCCACCCTAAAACACAAGACTGACTGTACCATGCAAATGAATATTGTTTTATGAAGTCAATTGGCTCAACCAGCTAGGACATGGGGCTAACAGGGCCAATTGTATGGATTCTATTCCTGTAGCAGGGGACCCATTTTTAACAGAGAAATAAAAAAGCAACCTCTGAGACCGCAGATAAAAAGGTGACCCCACGTGCCACAAAAGGGTACTATTTATCCAAAGGATAGGGTGAAAGACAAACGAGATAGCTTGGCAATAACCACTCTACTCCCAGAGAAACAGCTCAAGAGCATCCATCCTGTTGATGCTGGGTCAGTGCTGTCGTTGGAGAAGAGGAGTCACAAAAAAATGGGGCAGAGAAGGAACAGACAAAGGTTAAAAGCGTCCTCGTAGACTGTAACCTGTTCTCTTTATCTTTCCTTTATCACAACCCACAGAGGCTGTCAAGCAAACCTTGAAACGTGTTAGCACTCCCTTCACGGCTCTGAAGACAATCATCAATGGGATTCCTTTTGAATTAGCTTAGTTTTTCTTGGCAAGATCAAGCATTTGATTTAATGTGCATTAAGTAGTTAATAAATTGACATAAAATTTTAGGTAGCCACACATATTTTCAAAAGGACAGATAGTACAGTAATACATCTGCTACAAACTACCCATAAGTGATTGCTGGTAACAGACAAATTATTACATTTTTTTTTTGGCTATGTGATCAAAGTAGAAATTACAGATTAAGAACACAGGAAGCTTGTGTTACTTTTTTAAGTTTAATGTCCTTCTCTCGCATGATTCTAAACCACTTCTGCAACATCGAGATAGCACCCACAGCCCCTCTGCTCAGAATAGCAGCCAAGTAAAATTGTGTTCTTTGTTCAAATGAAATAAAAATCTACAGAATACCCTATACATTAAGATTAGCAGTGTCCTATAGGTACTGGATGGCTAAGATGAATTCGGGTGAGCCTGTGCTATTGGAAAGTGATTAGTAAAGAATTCATTTGAGCCTATTTTATTAACCGGATAGTAACTGCTCTATATGGCATATATCAGTAACACCTTTGGAACAAGATCTCTAGGGGAACAGTCTGAGGGACCCTCTACACACATGCACACACACGGGTTCGTTTGTGTGGATGCATGTATATACACACGCACATGTACACACACACAGCCCAAACTCAGAGCAGATGCACTTTCTAAGGAATCATGAGCCTAGGGGGAAAAAGGCTATTCAGCTTCCCCTGAAAACTCTGGAATCCCAGACATCCCCTCTGCCCCACTACTCTTTTCCCAGACCTGTTTCTCACCTTTCACCCCGCTGACCAAGCCAGTCACCTCCCACGCACCCTTCTTCCTACCTAAGGCATCGGACTGGGCAGAAACACAAAACTGATCGGGCCGCTTCCCTGCTTAAAGCCCTTCGGTGGTTCCCGCTGTCTTCGGGATAAAGACCAGGATATTCCCATGGCTCGTGAGGCCTTTGCTTGGCTTGCCATCTCCCGACTTGCCAGCCTTGCGTCCCGCTGCCTCCCTGGGCTCCCTGCACTGGCAGACATCTGGACGGTGCTCTCGCCCACCTCTGTTCTGGCACCTGGAACAGCTCTGGCCCAGCGGTTTCTCACTCAAACTCAGGACCCCGGGCTCCCTGTGATTCCCTCAGGGAGGCCTTCCGTGAGTCCATCCATGCAATGCCTAGCGGTAGTGCCTCCATTTTGTTGTGGACTGCGTCCCATCGCTGCCTCCGTCTCCACACTGTGGTAAGTTCTCTGAGGCCAGGACCGCAGCCCTTTCGGTCATGTTTGCTCACTAGAGCATACAATATCCCCGGTACATGATGAAAGTTACATAAATGTGCTTTGGGAGAGTGAAGGCATGAAGGAAAGAGTGAAGGAAGTATCTGGGCAGGGAGTGTTTCCTCAGTTCTAATGACATCTTTTCTCTGGCCAATTGGTCATTCTGGAACGCTCCCCCCTCCCCTGACACACCTAGACAGATAGACACACACACACACACACACACACACACACACACACACACACACACTCTCCATACTGCCAAACTGTGCAGTCTTTACTATGCATCAGTAATTCTGTCACCGAAACCTTCCAGTGGCTTCCCACTGCACCAAGGACAACAGCCACCTCCCACACAGAGGACTCCTCCCTGTTCCTGAGCTTCCTGCACCAAGTTTCCTGAATTGCTTCCTTCCTATTGAAAACAGTTCTGCTGTTCCCATCTCAAGATCCTGGTACTCTGGGGGAGGCTCCTCCCTCAGGTCTCTGCATGGTGCTCTCTTGTCTTGACCAGGTCTTAGTTCGTATGTCTCGGAGGGCATCTCCTAGAAGCTTCCAGGCAAACAAGCCTGACCCTTCATATCATCTTACTACCGCCATATTTCATCCACCACACTTATAACTGGCTGAAATTCCCCTCCATCGTTTTTGTTACGATGATTCATCACTCTGCCCTTTCTCTGCTGTAAGCTTCACGGGGACAAGGGTTTTTCCCACAGCATGAAGAAATTCCCTCAGCTGCCGTGCTCCAATCCTCCTCTGGTGCAATGACAACATGTGAAAGTGGGGTCCCGGGGGGGGGGGACTCTGGGACAGAGTGAAAGGGGGTGAGGGAGATCACAAAGCCGGGTAAGACTTACGACAACGGTAAATTAGTGTTCAAAATGACTTGATGTCTCTTAGCCTAAACCAGCTTTCCAGGAATCATGCTGGAGTGGATTGTGCGTCCGAGCAGTTCGCTTCCGGTTTATTCTAACTGGCATTCCCCAGCCTTATCCACAGCAGCAGGTGCTGTCTAAGAGGATACTACTAGTGTTTTCAAGTGCCTTCCTCAATTTCACAAGAGTGATGCTAAAGGTGTACCCCCTCAACAATAAGTTGGGGGGGAACGATTTACATCCAAGTCTCTTTTTCCAGAATGGTTTTGTTTCCCTTAAATTAGATCGCTCGGATTTTTTGTTGTCCATGGAGATAGACTCCAGAGAAATAACTGGAGGCCCAGAGGAAGTAAAATGTCCATCTCATTTGGACCAGAATTTGGCATATGATATGGTCTTGCATAAGGGTCTTAATCCTGAAGGACAAGGAGTGGCTCACAAGACAAAGATGTTCTGGAAAAGACACATACCAATAAAGGATCAGCATAGGGAGAGGTTCGGGGCTGCGGAGGGGTTGGTGGATTTGGAAAAGGTACATTCTCAGACTAGCCGGGGAATGGCTAAGAAACAGGCTGTGTGGAGGAAGCCTGCCCGGGAGGCCGGATCGTAGAGGCAGGGCTAGAAAGCAAGTTTGGGATGAGATCACGAAGGGCCTTTCACACAAATGCAAAAACGCTGTTTCTGGTCTGCAGTGACTATTGTGGAGAAGAAATCTAAGAACATTCAGATTTGTTTAGGTTTACAGAACAGCCAGAAAAATAACCTTAAGAAACAACAGGAGTGCACTAAAAGTCAGTTGCCATGGTTCCCTGTTCACACGCCTTAACTCTTTAATCCTTAAGTAGCCTTCTGTGGTTTATTTTCATTTTACAGAGGAGGAAATTTGACTTACAGATGGTACCAACTTAAGTGGTGGAGCCAGAATGAAACTCGGCTGTCTGCTTTCAAATAGATAAATTTAACCATATAACTGTGTTGGCTGCTGTAATCACTGCCTTGCAATAACGTCTAGAAGAAGGATTCTTTCTTTAGACAATGTCTCAAAAATAAATATGTTTAGGGGCGCCTGGGTGGTTCAGTCAGTTAAGCGTCCAGCTTTAGCTCAGGTCATGATCTTGCCGTTCCCGAGTTCAAGCCCCGCATCGGGCTCTGTGCTGACAGCTCAAAGCCTGGAGCCCAGATTCTGTGTCTCCCTCTCTCTCTGCCCCTCCCCGACTTGTGCTTGGTCTTTCTTCTCTCTCTCAAGTAAATAAACATTTAAAAAAATTTAAAAAAATATGTTTAAAACAGTGTCCACAGCAGACTTTTGGCAATGACCTAAGACATT